GCCATTTTGATCAATTTATAGGAATTCTTTGTGTATTCTGGATCTCACTATCTGTATAGCATTCTCATCCTCTTAATGGTGTGTTTTGATGAGCAGAAGTTCTGGATTATGCGTATGAGTGTATTGCCTGCGTGTATGCCATGCAGTGCCACGGAGGTCAGAAAAGGGCTTTTGGATTCCCCTGGAACTGGAGTTAAGGATGGTTTGTAGCCGCCACGTGGGTGCTAGTAATCAAACCCAGGTCCTCTGCAAGAGCAGTCAGTGCTCTTAACTGCTGAGCCATCTCTCCAGCCCCTGTGTCTCATGTTTAATTTGTGTTCTTCACAGAAGTTTTTGTGCCAGGTCAAGAAATACAGGCTATTCCCATGTTATGGACATACTCTTTTTTCTTTTCAAATCTTTCTTGCTCTATGTTTTCCATTCATAACTACAGTCCACCTGGAAGTACGAGGCCAATAAACAAAGCAGGGGCAGAAATATGTTGGATGTGGGAGAGGCGAATGCCAGTTAGGTTGGAGCAAAGAGGAGGGAAGCTTGTGTAGAGCCAGGAGCAAGAGGCTAAGGGAAGTGCCTGCTGTTAGTTCCCACTTGTGAAGGCATCATGGTCAAGTGCCTGCAAAATGCCTTACCCGTAGGAACTTTTCCCCAGAGGGACCTTTTGACAGCACAGAAATTCAGTACAAACCCATCACCTCTCCCATGAGAGCAGCTGTGCTCTCTACAGACAATAAAAGCAGTAACAACAGCAAAGAAAAACAGCAACAAAACACTACCTTATCCACTGCCTTCATTTTTATGTTCAAACCTTCCTCTTTGTATAGAGTGTCTACTTCAACACTTGGCCTAGCCTACTTATTACTGAGTGGTAGCTTTATATAGGATCTGGTAAATGTCTCCATGACATTTACCATGTTGGACAATGGTTGGATAATGGCCTTTGCTGCCATTATTATTTACCCAGAAATAATTTACATTACTTCACAGTCACTGTATATCCTTTGAAAGATGCTGTAGATCCCCTGTGAGAATTGTCAACCAAATCAGTTTCATTGAGATTTTGACTTAAAATTCAGTTTTACATTTTATAAAAATTTTCTTTATATCTGGTTTCTGGAAGAATGGGGATATAATGTCTTATAAACCTTTTTCCTAAATATTAGACAATTTAATAGTGAGGTTCAGTGCCATCTAAAGGAATGTGTATTCTGTATAGACATACTTTGTTCCCCCAGATGATCAATATAGTACAAATCTAGTTTAACACAGTTTGAACATGTGTGACTTGGTAAGATGAAGGTCCATTTTGATTACTCATGACTAGCCTTGTGCTTTTAGACTATTTCATCATTTATTCAGTATGTCTCAATAGGCTGTTTTATTGTCCAGACTATCTCTCCAATTCTTTTTTCTTTTGATTTGGTTTAGTTTTAGTGGTAGGACAACCACATAAGTCAAGTCCCATTCTCTAATGACAGTGCCAGACAGGCAGCGTGTGGATAACCCCTTGTCTGATTTTAGTTCATAAAGCTACTTTAGCCAGATAGTTCCTTTTTTCTGCCACAGAATCTGTCCTTAGAGTTACTGGTAGCTGAGATGACAGATTTGAATTTCAATCGATTTTCCCTTTTTCCCTTAACAGGGAAGAGCTGACTCCAAAGCCAGAGGTATATAAAAGGAAGGAAAACAGGCATAGTGCCTAATCATCCCAAAGAGACACACCCTGAAATACTCCTGCATGAGTTCTCATTGAATTTAATACTGTTCCTTCATCTTTGTTGAGTCAGGACAGCCCCAGGTTTGTGTGCAGATACTGAAATGAAAAGCAGTTGCTTGAAAGAGTGCTTCCTTAGGGGCAAAACCCTCCATACATTTTGTAGAGTGAAAAATGAAGTTAGACAGTTGATTCTGGTTTGATAAGCAAATTTCTGACTTTCTAGTTACAGTTTCAAGGATAGCTAAGAGTGCATTTTCCTCTAAAGATGTAGTGGTCCCAAGAAGGCTTTTGATCAGACCCCCACCCCCCACCCTAGCGTTTGTAGGAGCTGAGGAGGAGCAAAAATAGAGGACACTTATCACTTGTCCAAATTCAAAAGTCATTAATTAAAGCTGCCAAACTTAACAGAAATGTGTTCTATTTTCCTGGTATAACAGGATACCTTAATGATGTCCTGAAAAGCAGGTTTAATGTAAAATTCCTGGACACTGGGATTCCATGATAGAACATGACAATGTAGGGAATTGGCCCCAGCTCAACCTTCCTGTTTTTTCTCCTGTACATCTAAGCTCCATTCTTCTCCACAAGTCATTGTGTCACATATACACAAGAAACTTGCCACCTCCATGTCCTCTCTAAGACACTGAAATTGACTGAAAAGTGGTAATGGTGATGCATGCTGTGGCTCTCCCAGGCATAAATAGAGGTTCTTTATACTCCGACCTCAGACGTCAGTAAACTTCTCTCTTGTGGCTAAGCATTTCAGTAAAGCAAGACCACCCCAAGTCCTTGGTAATCACATCACCATTCTACTGGCATTATGAATATAATAGCTTTAGATACTGCATGTAAGTGGAGTCCTTTATCTTTTTGTCACCAGCCTATTTCCTTTTATATGGTATCCCCAAGGTTTATCTATGTTGTAGCTTGTGACAGGATTCTATATTCTATTGTATGCATATACTAAAATTTTTGTTAATCTTAGTTATTGTGGAGAGCTATATCAACATGGTATGTAAATATAGCTTTGAAACAGTATTTTCAATTCTTTTAATAGACACCTAGAAGTGAAACACTATGTAATATCATAATTATGTCTTCAGTTTATAATTTATTTTTAATTTTTAATTGTGTGTGTGAGTGTGAATGTACATGTGGGGATGTAGATACCCATAGAACTCAGAAAAGGGCATTGGATCTCCTGAAGCTAGAGTTACAGACTGCTCAAGCTAGGTGCTGGGACCAAATTTCAGTTCTTTGCAGGAACAGAAGTGCTCTTAACTGCTGAACCATGTCTCTAGCCCCCATCTTTAATTTTTGAAGAGTGTTCATACTCTTTTAAAGGTTTTATTTTTAATTATGCCTATGTGTGTGGAGGGGAGGGGTCTGGGTTGTGCATATGAAAGCAGGTACCTGCTGAGGCCAGAAGAAGGCATCAGATCCCCTGGATCTAGAGTTACAGGCAGCTGTGAGCTACCCAGTGTGGTGCTAGGAAATGAACTCAGATCCTCTGGAAGAGCAGCAAGTGCTCTTAACCACTGAGCCTTCTCGCCAGCCCCATACTCTTCTATAGTAGCTGTGCCACTTTATAATCCCACTATTGGTATACAAGGCTTTCAGTTTCTCAAATGCTCACCTTTGCTTATTATTTGCTCTATTTTTTCAATAATAGCTATTTCAGTGAGTGTGAGGCCAGCTATGGCTATGTAATGAGAGTCTATCTTGAAGAAAGAAGGGAGGGAGGTCCGTTATTGTGTTGTTATCTCTTCCTCTTTTCCCAATGTAACATTGTGGAAAGCACCACCTTGAAACAGCAAAGTACAAGGAGCAATAGCCTAACAGTGCTGTTTTCAGAGTTATGCAAATCAGTTGTTTACACAGTGACTCAGCTTTTATTCCCTCTTAACTTTTGATGTGGAAGGGAGAAGAATGCATTTGCCTTGTCTTCCCCAGAATTTTGAGATAAACTTATGTCTGTCAACCCCTTTTAACTTCTGCGAGGACACATATTACAGATCATGCTGATTAGACTTTTGGGTGTTTAATAATGTGTGTTAATTAGCTAAATAATTTTACTAATACAATTTACAACCTTCATAATTTATATCATTCCTAAAAGCTCAGGCTTTACAGTTGATACACTTCCCTATTTATTAAAGTTGAGTGTATAAGAGAGAAAACGAAGAACTGTGAAATTTGGTCCTCTGTGCTTAGGCTCATGAAGAGGGGGGTGCTGTTTCTGAAATCAGCCCCATTGAGATAACTTGGTTTGAAATTTTGGTTTATCACAAAGATGTTGTAAACCATTGAAATAGATTTATTTTTAAAGTGGACATAGGAAACTGCAACTTGAATTGATAATATGTTGAAATTGACTACAAACAGTTAAGTGTATGAACTGATGCCTATTTATAGCAACTTTCCACCTCATTGGCTCATGATGCTCATCATGTGAGTGGGGCAGAGGTATCAGCACAGTGGCATATTTTTAACATTCTGCCATTAGCTTTTACTTCTTCACAGGGACCTTTAATAAAATAAGTATGTGTTAGCAGTATTTCCCAATTGTTTTGAATCGTTAAGTTATAGTTGAGTTAGGTGGGGTTTAGTTTGCTGCTCCACTTGACTAAATTAGCATAGATATATATCCAGTATGTAGAAAACTTTATGGGTCTGTGCACCCATAAAGGTTTCTCCTGTGCACAGGTGAGACTAAGAAGCCTGTTTTTTGAAACTGTCATGTTAATTGTTAATTTTTGTGGAGTCTGAACATTAAAGATGGTAACAATCTCAGCACATTAAGAACCTAACTGTTAGAGTAGGGCTTGGGGGCAGAGGCTGTGCTCATGTGAGATGTTAATGGCTGGGTGAATTCAATCAGATAAGCTGCCTCCAGTGTCTTTGTGTAATGGTATTTACAACATTTTAAATGGACTGCTGAGAAAGATGAAATGGAATCTCATGTATCATCTCTGCCTTGAAAAAAAGATAATGAAATTGTTCTCTTGCTAGCATATATTTTATTAACCTTGGTGGAGTCAACTTGAAGAACAGACGTCCCTGTAGAGTTGAGAGCTTTAGCTAAAGTGGAATGTTAAGAAGTGCCTTTGTGAGTTCTAGGAACTGCGGGGTTAAGTGGAGCAGGTAGGTTTTTAAACCACTCAGAGAATATTAGCATATTCTTAGAAGATGCAGCGTAGCTCTAGAAGTACAGCTGAAGAGAAAAGTACAATGTAAATTGATTGTAACTAAGGTCTTATTTTGCTTTTTGTTTTCTTCTTTACAGAGCCTGGAGAAAGTTCTTGTGGAATTTAGTCATAAGGAACTGTTTGATTTCTATAACAAGGTCTGTATTTTTAAAATCATTTTCTGATACATAGAGGTTTTCCTAACATTTCCTTCATTTTTATGAATTTTTATTTTTAAATTCCTTATTGTGGAGCTAAGTTATTTAACTTCTTTTCTAAACTTGTGTCTCACAGTGAGAAGAAGCATAGCTCAGATGAAGAGAATCTGACAAACTAAATCAAAAAGAAAATGAAAATGATTTTACATAGAGCAACAGGGTTGGTGCCTTAGCGTAAAGCTTAGCAGTGCACTGTGTCACCCCTATAGCCACATGACCCTTTAAATATAGATAACCTGAAATACTTTAATGTCTGGGAACGGGGGTAAAGGAAAGCTGCCAGGCTTTTCGAGATTTATCTTTGAAGCCAGGCATGATGGTGCATGCCTTTAATCTCAGCACCCTGGAGGCAGAGGCAGGAAGATCACTGTGAGTTCAAGACCAGTCAGGGCTACATAATGAGACCCTGTCTCCAAAAAAAGTTTGTTTCTATTTAAAAATGAGATTTATCTTTGAGTATATTTCATTTTTTTCTTTCAAATATTGATTTTGTCCTAAGAAGTACATTTCCCTAGCCTCCAACTTTAAACTCTTTTTTAAAAGTATTTTGAAGTTATATGTATATACATGTGGGTTTGTGCATGAGTGTTCAATGCTGGAGTTCTAGGCAGTTGTAAGCTGACTGACATGGGTGCTGGGAATCCAACTCAGTCCTCTAGAAGGAGCAGTATGCACTTTTAAGCAGTACATACTGTTAATCACTGAGTCATCTCTCCAGCCCCCAGATTTTAAACTCTCTGTAGTGATAATTTACTATGAAACAGTTTGATGCACTTAAAACAGTAGCTCTTAGAAGTCCTCCTTCTTTATAAATTTGAAAACTTAAATGGCAATCATAAATTCTAATATCTTTACATAAAGGGAAAAGGAGTCCACGAGTATTTTTATTGCTGTGCGAGTGGATTTACTGTGCATGGTTCTGGCTGCCATTCTTCCCCCTTTTATTTGCATGTTTCTAAACACTTCATGTGAATTTCTTTCCCTTCACTAACTCTCTTTATTTTTGTCTTTGCAAACAGCTAGAGACCATACAAGCACAGCTGGACTCCCTTACATGATGCTTCTGGACTGGTTTCTCCATCACATCCGCCACCTCATTACTTTGCATTGAAGAGAGATTGCCTATATTGAAGGATTCAGTGACTTTATTCCTATGAATAACATGGATTATCATATCTTGGACAAATATCAGCCAAGTGAGATCTCTTTTAAGAGCACTGAGATTCTAAAATACCTTCCCTAGTTATGTGAGCCAATGGCAATTGTTCAGAACACTGCTTTGAAAGAAGTTTTAAAATACCATATTGTTTTTACTGTTGGGTTGCTGCTTATTGGTTCCCTGTTCATTTTTACATGCTGAATCATGCTTGTACGTATTGGTGAGGGTCTGTAGATAGAAGGTATGATGCATAGATACTAGCAGAACATGAAACCTCAGTAATAAATTTAAGGTGGCAACCACATGCAACCAGATATAGTGTGGCATTTTTCTACAACTTAATTTTTCTTGAGAAATGTATAGGAAAGAACTTTAAAAGCATACCAGTGCTATGATGCTAACTCCAATATGATCTTCGCATTTTAAACCAGAAATCTTTTGTATTCTCTTTCTGTATGTTCATTGGTTTCAGTCAATAAACTGTTTCTGTTTTAGAATTATTTAGACTCATGTACAGTATTTATTTTATAATATGTGAAGATATGATTGTCTATAAATTTGTGATTGCCTTAAATTTTTATCAATGAAATATCTAACTTACTTTGTAGGAAAAGGAGAGAGAGGAGGGAAAGACTTAAACAGAACCTTCTTCACATAAAGGAATGTGATTTCAAAATGTCCTATAATTAAACAAACAAAACAATTACAACTGAAGCACATTTCTCTTAAGTTTCTGGATAATACAAGTATTAAATGTATCTCAAATCAGTGTTCACTACAGAGCATTTATGTCCACACTAGTTTATGCAGATATCTGTATGTTGTTGCTTAGAAGAATTCAAAATTTAGGTTATTTCAGAAAGCAAATGTTACAGTTATTGTCCATAATTGATTGCTAAAACTCTTTTATTGTAGTTTCTCTAAATGTAGACTGTAATGTAATGTGATTTCTTTCCTTCTGTGGCTTGCAGGATCTTTCTCTTTTTCTTTCTTTCTCTCTCTCTCTCTCTCTCTTTTGAGAGTGTTTCCCTGTCATCCCAGCTGGCCTAGATAAACTCACTATGTAGACCAGATTGGCCTTGAATTCAGATATCCACCTGCCTCTGCCTCCCAAGTGCTGGGATTAAAGGCATGCACCATCACTCCTGGCTTCTCTCTTTCTTTTTTTCTTGTTCCTTAGATTATCTCACTGTGTCACCCAGGCTGACCCTAATCTCCTGGGCCCAAGCAGCCTTCCTGCCTCGGCCTCCCCAAGAAGCCAGAACTACAAGCATGCATTTCCCTGCCCAGCTCTGCCTTTTTTTTTTTTTTCCTTTCCTCTGTTATATAAGTTCCCAAAGATAGCTAACTACATGGTTCCCAAAAGTACTATAAATATTTTGCTAAAAATTCTTTAGACTTCGTTACATGAACAATCTCAAGTTAAATTTGTTAGACCCTCCCAATTGTGATTATAGATAGGAGATTTCTTTTTTTTTTAAGATTTGGTCTTTTTTTGGTTGAGAATTTCATACATGAGTATTGTCTTCATATTATTTCTCAGCCCCACCTCACTCTTCTCTTCTGCCCCCCCTCTCAATTTCTTATCTTCTTCTTTGATTAGTATTATCACACATACAAACATATACATATATATATATATATATAAATGCACTGAGTCCATTTAGTGGTGCTCATATGTACTTGTGTTTAGGTCAGTCCATTGGAAATTAGATAACCTCTCAGGGAACCAGTCCCTGGAGAAAGCTGATTCTCCTTCCCTCAGCAGCCATTGATTGCCTGTAGCTCTTCTTGAGGTGGGACCCATGACATCCCTCCCTGCCCACTTTGGTGCGTAATTATGCTAGTCTCGTTAGACTGCCACACTGTGGAGATGCCATTGGTGCAGGTTCTCTATCAGATCTAGAGTATGTTAGCTAGTAGCGGGTGTCCGGTCCCTATAGCTCTTGCCTTCTTTGTGTCCCTCTTTCCCCATGTTTCCCGAGCCTTAGGTTTGGAGGTTGCACTGAAAATATGTCACTTAGGGTTGGGCATAGATAGGTGAAAGTTTTTATTGGTTTAATGGTCAAATTAAATTCCTACTGTCATAAGTTAAATGTGATAGTTAGAAATAAAATTTTCTAAAAGTAACTCATTTCATGTTCTCTTCTATCTATACAAAAATGGTACTTGGGAGGCAGAGGCAGACAGATCTTTGAGTTCAAGGCCAGCCTGGTCGACATAGTGAGTTCCAGGACAGCTGGGGCTACAGGGAGACCCTGTCTCAAAAAAACCAAAAAAAAAAAAAAAATGGTGAATAATAATCTCTCCATTAGCCTAGTTTAACATAGTCTCACTCAAAGACACTAAAGAAAATACATGGTAGTTTAATTCCAAAGGCTGAGGATCTGTTGTTGAGGGGGGAAGTGTTAATAAAAATACCATAACCTACTCAGCACATAAATATGTGGTCACATGTCATGTAACATTTTGACTAATGACATACCACATATATAAGACAGGATATATTGTGTAGCCTGGTGTGTAATGGGCTGTACCATAGAGGTTTATGTGAGGATCTTATATTTGCACAATGATGAAATTGCCTAGTGATGCACTTCTCAGAACCTATTTTCATCATGAAGCACTTGAGGCTTGAGTAGAAATAGAATTACTCATTAGAAAGAGGAGTGGATACCTTCTGCAAAGATTGTAGTTCTGTGATTATAAAGTATCATGTAATTATTTTTAATTTGGAAACACCTAAAAATCATAAAGAACTAATTTAAATCTATAGAATCTTGTCATCCAGAAATGGCCATTAATGACATTTAGTAGATTTTTCACTTTACATTTTCTATCTATGTGCTTTTCTTGTTTCCTTTTGTAACAAATGGAGGTTGTGCTAAAAATAATTTTATTATTTTTATGTCATATTATAACATGGACATTTTTCGTGTCTTTAAGTATTGTCCAAACATAATTCTAATCTATAGTAAATAATAGTTCATCATTTAAATAAGCTGTTATTCCTCTATTTTTGGACATCTAGCTTATTTCCAGTTTTGAAACAATAATAAAGAACTCACTACTACATAATGCTAGACCACATCCCTCTTATGATCACTTGAGATCCCTCAAAGTAGGATTGCTGTTGCAAAAGTATACATATTTATTTTCTGTTTTTGTCTTTTCTTTGCGGCTCTTTATTGGCTGAAGAAACAAATACAATACAAAGTTCTTGGGGTCTTAAGGACAGTCATGCATTTATTGTTGAGATTCTGCAGCCCATCCCTCAGGCCCTGACTCCTTCCATCCAGTTCCCATCCAAAACTCCAGTCTCCTCTCAGGTCTGTTTTCTAGCACAATAACCACACAAGTAAAAGGAAATAAAGATGCACTGCTGAGCCAGATATGGTAGTACACACCTATAATCTCAGAACTGAAGAGGCTGAGGCAGGCTCAACCTGCTTTCTTATAAAACACAGGACTGCCTGCCAAGGGATGGCACCATAGCATAGTAAATTCCAAGGTATACAGATCCTGAGTCAAAAAATAAAAAATTTGACTAACTACTTGTGGTGGACAAAGGCCATTAGTGTCAGCTTTAAACAAATACTATCGTGACTGGAGAGATGGTTCAGCAGCTAAGAGCACTGGCTGCTCTTACAGAGGACCCAGGTCCTATTCGCAGCACTCACATAGTGGCTCACAACTGTCTGTCATTGCAGTTCCAGGGGATTCTCTTTGGGCCTCCACAGGCATTGTATGACACAGTGCACTTTCATACATGTGGGAAGAACACTCATCCATCCACATAAAATAAAAATTTTAAAAATTTAAACAGTTTATTGTAATCATTTTTTTTTTTTTTGGTCTTTTTGAGATAGTGTCTCTCTGTAGCCCCAGCTGTCCTGAAACTCACTGTGTAGACCATGCTGGCCTTGAACTCAAAGAGATCCACCCGCTGCTGCCTCCCGACTGCTGGGACAATCTTTTTTATTGTAATCTTTTTAACAAATATATTTCTTTTTCACTTATTTTTAATTAGAAAATGTATTACAAAATACATTTTGTAGTTACCAAGAATAATAGTGGTATGATCTCATTCAGCATATCCAACAAATCAGTGTCTAGTTGTTCTAGTTTGCTTCCTATTGCTGAGATAAAAACACCAAACCAACTTAGGGAAGAAAGGGTTTATTTGGCTTACAGCTGACAGTCCATCATTAAGGGAAGCCAGGGCAGGAGGAAAGACCATAAAGATGCAGTGCTACTGGCTTGCTTCTCTGTCCCATGCTCAACCTGTTTTCTTATAAAACACAGGACTGCCTGCCAAGGGATGGCAACACCCACAGTGGACTGGGCCCTCCCACATCACTCAAATATCAAGAAAATGCCCCACAGACATGATCACAGGCCAACTCAATGGAAGAAATTCCTCAATTGAGGTTCCCTCTACCCACATGTGTCAAGTTGACCATCAAAGCTATCCAGCACACTAGTCATGTCCAATTCCCACTGCAGTGTTAGTCAGTGGAATCACAAAAGAAGACCAACTCCTGAAACAGACATTTATTGGACTCTTACAGAATATAGAAATGATTTGTTACTTTGGTATGCAGAAAGTTGAACACACATCCACCATGGGAAAAAAAAGACAAAAACCATACTCCTTTTCTTTGCAAATTACCTTTGCTTGTTCTTGATTCTCAGTATTATAGTATGGCCACACATGTGTTTGTTTACATATGTATATGTATACATCATTGGTTAGGAAGCACATGGGGGGAAAATATGGTTTGTATTGTTTGTTTATTTGTTTTTTACTTTTTGAGATTGAGTGACCTCAATATTATACATTCTAGGTTCATCCATTTTGCTGTAAATTTTTATTTCATTTTTCTTTAGAACTAAATATTCCTCAAAAAATTAAAACAGTTACCATATGACCTATCTCACTCCTGGGCATATACCCACAAAATTCTTTGTCTTTTTTTGAGGCAGGGTCTCCCTGTAGCCCCAGCTGGCTTGGAACTCACTATGTAGATCAGGCTGGCTTCAATCTCATGGAGATCCACCTGCCTCTGCCTCTGGCGTGCTAAGGTTAAACGTGTATGCCACCATGCCCGGCCCTCCATATCTTACTGCAGAGCTGTTTGTATCCCTTGTTCATTGCTTCTCTATTCACTATAGTGAGGAAATGGAACCAACCTAGTTGTACATCAACAGATGAGTGGATAATGAAAATGTGGTGCGTGTGTGCACACACTTAATGGAATATTATTCTGCTCTATTTTTACATTTAATGCTAATTTTTATTATAAAAATAATAGTTTCCCATTGGAGGGAAAAATAGGAAGTTGTTCTATTTTGCCATCTCAAAGCCTAGAAGAGCTTATTTAATTGCAGTAAACATTTTGGTTTCTATGTTTTCTAAATTGTTTCCCCAAATAATTATTTTAGTCTCTGCTCCCTCCACTGGTGAATGAGGAGAATTCAGACATCCCAAACCACTTCC